GATTTAGTCAGTATTAAATTTCTAATTATTTTATTATTATTGTTGTTGTTTTATTGTTATTGTTATTATTATTATTATTATTAGTAGTAGTAGTAGTAGTAGTGGTAGTAGTAGTAGTAGTGTGGTGGCGCCTGCACCTCCATAGGCATCAGTGAATTGTGCCCCGAGTACATAAGAACATTGGACAGAACTGCTCTACAGGATACTTTAGGACCCTCTATTAGATCAGATGACAAGGGTGCCAAACTAACATATTCTTTGGTTTCTTCTTTCTACACCTTACACATGATGATAAACCATTCTTGCATTGAATATTTAATATATTTAGAGCAAGGATAAAAAATATATAAGACAGTGAAGTTCATTAACTCATTTATGGAGAGTGGGCAAACATATTTCTGGAGTCCTAACTTATTGAACATAGATATTTACTGCAGATTCTGTATAATAAATCTGCGAAAAAGAAACTTCCATATTACAAATATGCCTTCCTTAAACACACAGAATGCTGTTTATTTCTTGAAGATGATATCCTTAAGGTAACCTCCATCTCTGCATAGGTATTCCTCTGATCTTCCATGCATGTTTCCCGTGACGTGATGTATGTAGCATCTCTGAATAAATAAGAGCAATTTCCTCATGAATTCTTCCTTACAGTTCTCCGATACTGTGTGAGCAATCAGTGCACACTTTGCTTTTTAAGTGGCCCCATAAAAAGTCGCATGCTGACAGGTCTGGCAACCTTGGACACCAAGGAATGTCACAATTCCTGGAGACGATGCAATTATAAAAAATCAGGTATATGGTGTCCACTCTGCCAGTATGAGACATTCCATCTTGCTGAAGCCAATTGGCCTCATTAACCTCAGTAGCTAGTTCATAAGTCAAGAAAGTTGTGATTATGTTGGCATAGCAGCCTGAGATCACTGTTGTCATACTTCCATTATCATGTTCAAGAAAGTATGGGCCAATAATGTCGTGAGATGAAATGACACACCACGCTGTTACCTGATCACTGTGCAATACCTGCTCATGCAATTGGCGAGGGTTTCCTTCCTACCAATAATGAAAGCTCTGTTTATTCTTAAAACAGTGTAGATGAAAGCGAACTTCAACAGACATCCATAGACTGTGAATCACAACCTATTTCAGTTAGATTTTCTTTAAAAAAAATTATGAGTAAGGAGATCCCAAGGTTTTAATTCCAGCACTACTTGTACCTTGCAAGGGTGGGAATTTAAGTCCTGATGCAATATTCACTATACATTCCTATAGGATAAGTTCAATGATAGTGCATGTCAACACACAAAACGCTGTGGACTGCGCATGAGAATGGTTCTGACAGCTGCAATGTTTCCTGGTGTACAAGCACTTCTTATTCCACCCATAGGATTCTTTTTGATAGCAGAACCAGTTACTTCAAAATTATACACCCATGATTTAATGGCATGAGCAGACAGTACAGGACCACAGCACTGAAAATTAAACGAACTAAACACTGATTGGCCTAGAGACTATTGTGTTATTTGTAAAATTCCTTTATAGTGGATGTACACTGCACCCCACTCCATTGTCCCATGGTAACTAAATGGTGTGATGTGGACAGGAGGATGTCAGGTGATACAATACCCCCCCCCC